TATATATATATATATATATAATATAATATGAAGGAATGTGGTACCAAGCATGAGTTTTTTTATTGGCAGTGAGGTAATGTATTCTCATCCACTCACCCAAATGTGAGACATTTTCACATCAGTTAGAGTGTATAGGAATGTGTTATATTACTACCACGCATATATATATATATATATATATAATATAATATGAAGGAATGTGGTACCAAGCATGAGTTTTTTTATTGGCAGTGAGGTAATGTATTCTCATCCACTCACCCAAATGTGAGACATTTTCACATCAGTTAGAGTGTATAGGAATGTGTTATATTACTACCACGCATAAAATTTATCATAAAAATATCTTGATTATTTTTAGTTTATTTTTTTTTACTATACCTGGGTTTTAAAATAGTTGACGTTTATCATAAAATATATTGAAATATTTCATATGTCACGATGAGTAAAACCATGTTGGCTTCAATTTTTGTCTTCCGGAGAAATAGTGAAGTTTAGAGGTCTAACTATAATATTTTAGGCAATAAATCATCCATGCAATAAACTTGTATTTTTGGTACCAATACGAATAAAATTTAAACAAAAAAACTATTTTTTCTATGATCGCTTGATAATTTAGTTTAGCAATGATAAAATTGATATTCCTTCAATGCCGTGTCATGTTGCATGAATCTATTTTTTTCAAAAGTTTTTAGTATAAAATTTCAAATCGTGCTACTAGAAAAAGTATATTCTTTCCGATTAATAAGTATACACAAATATGGTTAGTAATTGAACAATTAAAGAAGTATAGACAAATATGATTGATACATTATCTAATGATAGGATCAACCATAACAAACTCTTATTGCATCTATAAATATTGTCATTTCAGTTCTTGAATTTTTAGTGTAAAATCACAATGTAGAGGACAAATGTCTTAATAGTCAATAATATTAATCATATTGATTGTAATTTTTCACAAATAAAATTCACTTTAACTCAAATGTTTAAAATTTGAAATAATCATGAATAGCTATATACATTAGGAGAAATGATAAGTAACTGTGTACTCAAGTAAATTAACCAAGTACGAGAAGCAATTGATTGTAGTAATTCATTGATCAAAATTTTGATTCGATGTACGAAGTAAAATAAAGAATCTCCATTGTAAACGTAAAAGAGAAATACAAAAAGAGAGAAAAAGAAAAGAAATCACAATACAATTTCTCATGATGTTTTTTTCCACATGCAAATGAAAAAGAACACGATACATAATGATTTCAGATTTTTTTTCTTGAAAATCAAGGTTAAGGATAAAACATTAAACAATTCACCATGATGCATTTGTCTCTCCCTCAAAAATTTCTCATTCTTACCATCTCTTCCAATTGCACATAATACGTATCCCCCACAAGCATGCATGTTTAAGAAAGCAGCCATCAACCCCAAATATACGTCTACAACATGAAGCATAACTTATTTTCATGCCCTCAAAACGTACATAGAATCTAAGGAATATGGCAGGTTGTCCATTTGTATCTACTGTCTTCAATACACATGTAGTGTTAGGGTTAGATATTTTAAGCTCTTTAATATA